TCTTGTGATTTTCATCCTAGCAGTAGGGGTTCCACTTTGTATGTCGCCGCATCTCCCCCCAAGCTCACCGTTTGTTTGTTGAGTCTTGTTTCTTGTACAAACACTCGGACCTCCGTCAGATCTCTAGGTGCATGTCCTCTTCCTCCAAACTCAGTAGTCCTCCATCTCCAGTAGTCCCCAGGTGAAGCCACTTCTGAACTCTCACCCCCGTTACCAGGTCTGGGCCCAGTACCGTATAAATTTGGTTGGGGCCGTCTGTTGCTCGAAGCCATGTGCCTTCTGCATTTTCCGAATCATTCTGTAGCAAGGCATGCCAGTGATGTGGCAAAGCCTGTGTTAAACTCTCCAGGTGCTGCGCCACTCTATGAAGTCGTGGGAGTTTGCGGCGGATCTGTGGGGCTGACACCCAAGTCTGCTTATTGTAATCCCATATATCTCGCACTTGCAGCACACTCCTTTTAATCCAGGCGGAGCTGGAGTGGTGGTAGATTGGTTGGTCCATTCGTATCACATTGCCCTCGCTCCACAGCCGGAGTCGTGGCAGATTGGCTGGAGTGGTGGCAGATTGGCTGGTCCATTCGTATCACATTTCCCTCGCTCCACTACTGTCCAGTGTCCACTATTCGTATCTCGCACTTGCAGCACCCAAGTCTTCTCTTACAGCCGGAGTGGTGGCAGATTGGCTGGTCCATTCGTATCACATTGCCCTCGCTCCACTACTGTCCACTATACAAAACATGGACGTCCGATTCGTACCCCGTATCACAGTAGCCTCTCGCTCCACTACGGTCCACTATACGAAAGTGGACGGTCGGAGGTCGCTCCACTTTCTGTCCACTGTCCATGTGAAAAACTTCAATTGACCCAAGAGCCTAGCTCATTGGGTACACCCGTGAACTGTTGAAATACAGACCTGTGTTCGAATCCAGATGATGGAACTTGACGAGTAAAGCAAACTATACTAATGAATTGCCTGGGGCCGGTTAGCTCAATCATAATATCTCAAGGCCTCGGGAAGTGCCAAAAATTGCCGTGCCAATGGAGTCCAATTTCGCTTGCCCATTACCGTCGGCTATTATAATAATAATAATAATAAWAATAATAATTAAAAAAAAAAAAAAAAAAAAAAACCCTTCCAATCCGATGGACGATGGACTGTCCGGGGGCCTGGTCCCACTAGCAAAGTGGATTGGATTGAATTCCTCAATCCGGACGTGTTTTGCGCAGAGATGCAGAAAAGCAGATTAATGGCAACATTCTGAATCTCTCCACAAACACGTCCAAATTCTGGTATTAAATCATTTCTTCTCTGCTGATGGTACCAGGCCCCGGGATTATACAGTTCCCAGCCTGCAAAATTCGTTATGTGGAAAGTCCTTCAAGGAACTCACGACGCAGACCCAAACTTGGACAGTGTACTTGGACTTTGGGCAGACAAAGGGCCTCTCCCCACTACTGCTGATCGGAGAGTTTTTCATGGCTGCACTAACTATCAGATTCCACCACACAAAAACCCTCCGATACCTATCAGAAACCAACATAGAAAAGCACTCTCCTTGGGCGGAGAGTGCCCAGCTTGCAAATTTTCATGGTTGCACTAACTATCAGATTCCACCACACAAAAATCATCCGATACCTCTCAGAAACCAACATAGAAAAGCACTCTCCTTGAGCGGAGAGTGCCCAGCCTGCAAATTTTGGTACACCGCTTGACCCGTGAGGAACTCACCTGTCAGAAACCACCATAGAAAAGCACTCTCCTTTCCGGAGAGTGCCCAGACTGCAAATTTCGTTACATGGATAGACCTTTGAGGAAGGGCCTAGTTGCACTACTCGCCATCCGTCACAATTCGTGGCGGATGCGTGGAGAGTGAAAAAAATGAGAATCGTGTCGAACTCGAGACCTGGTTGCACTTACTCACCACTACATTTCTTCTACAGAAAAGTTAAGAAAAATTGTCTTGCTGATGTCTACTCGTGAAGCCGTGCACTCTCCAGAAAGTTGAAAGTTGCTTTCTGGAGAGGTATGAGGACCACCCTCCACAAACTGCTGTGCACAGGCGGGGAAACTGAAAACACTCGTCACAACTTGTGTCTACCGTGTGGCAAGGAGTCTGACATATTTTTCATTCGCCAAGTTCGGTGAGTAAGTGCAACCGCACGCCTACTCGCCAAACTTGGCGTATGGAGAGTAGTGCAACCAGGCCCGAACTCGCCGTAGGACCTCGAATTTGGAGGGTGTGCCTGGACTCTGGGCGGACAAAACACGGTGATGACACCGTGTCTTCATCTGCTGTTATGATCCGTATTTCTGGACAGTGAAGAGTAATGCAGCGAGACCCAAAACGCTTTGAATTTGGAGGGTGTTCCTGGACTCTGGACGGACAAAAAAGGGTGATGATGCTGTGTCTTCATCTGCTATCATGGTCCGGATTTCCGGACAGTGAAGAGTAATGCAGCGAGACCCAAAACACTTCCGACGCCCTGTCTTGTGGTGCTGTTACAGTGCTGTATCCAGGGTTGTGGCTCACTCTGACAGTTGTCCGCGAACTATACAAAATTTTGTATAGCGGATAGTAGTGGAGAGCGGCCTTAGGGTCTCGCTCCACCACTGTCCGATGTCCACAAATTTGGAGAGTCCTTGGATCATAGTTGTCAGACTCTCCAAATTTAAACCACCAGCACCTTGCCCTTCCATAAATTTCCGACGCGGCCGTTAGCGCGCCGCGTCGGACGGGGTCGGGGAACCAAGTTCAACCAACGACCGGAAAAAAAAAAAAAAAAGTGGAAAAAATCATGAAAGGGCAAAACGTGCACGGCACAGGAGAGAGAGAGAGAGAGAGAGAGAGAGAGAGAGAGAGAGAGAGAGAGAGAAACGCGCCGGCTCTCTCTCTCTCTCTCTCTCTCTCTCTCTCTCTCTCTCTCTCTCTCTCTCGTGCGCGCAGGGCTTCCCCCCCTCCCCCCCCCCGGGGCGCAGTTGAAATGTCGACGGGAATGAATCTTCCCACATTTATCGGGAAGATTGCTCCGTGAAACTCATTCCGGGGCCCCTCTGGTAATAGTGGATCCTCACATTTGTGCCTATAGTTTGTTGACTTTCTCAACCCGTCGCAGCTGCTGGGAAAACAGTTGCAGTAGGAAGGCCGGACGTGTGGGGGTTAGAACAACTTGACAAGGTACGTGCATAGAATAGGGGGGACAGGGGGACAGGGGGACACGGGGAGGGTAAGCGGTG